AAAAGCACAGATTTAAATGTTTTCTACTTAACAACAGCTCTTATATCAGCGCTACCAAAATTTTACCTTACCAGAAATTTGTATTATTATTTTTTGGTGGCCTGCTCAGCCTGCCCTGGGGGCGGGGCTGGTGTGGCAGATCAAGCCGGTTCCCTGCACTTGCCTAAGAGGGCGCTTTAGACCACTGAACTATCTTTTTTTTTTTTTTTTTTTTTTTTGCAGAACCAGGGATTGAACTCAGGCCCTTGAGCTTGCCAGGCAAGCGCTTATTCTACTGAGCCGTCTCCCTGGCACACTGAACTATCTTGCTGGCCCCTATGTTTTTTAAGAGGTATTTGCTATTTTAAGAATATATTGGGGCCGGGGAGATGGCTCAGTGGAATAGGCGCTTCCCTGGCAAGCACAAGGGCCTGAGTTCAATCCCCGGTTCCGCCAAAAAAAAAAAAAGAATATATTAAGAACCTGCAGTTAAGGGGCCGGGGAGATGGCTCAGTGGAATAGGCGCTTCCCTGGCAAGCGCAAGGGCCTGAGTTCAATCACCGGTTCTGCAAAAAAAAAAAAAAGAACCTGCAGTTACAGAAAATAAAAATTACATTTTTTAGAACTGTGAACTTCATTATTTTTTTATTTTTTTGAGATAGGGAGCATCTTGCTCTGCAGCTCAGGCAAGCTTTAAACTATGTAACCCAGGCTGGCCTTGAACTCGAGCTGATCCTCCTGCCTCAGCCTCCCCAGCGTTGTGATTACAGGTGTGTACCACCACACCTGGCAGAACCTTGAACACTTAACTTTGACTCTTAGTCTTGTAGAACAACGAACAAATACCCTTTAGACCTAAACTTGCATTGAGTTTTTAAAAAGTTTTTAATGATCTACAATGAATCATAAAACTTTTGTTAAACATATTGTTTATGAGACATTTATTTATTTATGCATATCTGAAAGAAACACTGCATACTTATGCTTTTCTGTTCTCCATTACTGAACAAGATTACCAACATAGGGTCTCGGATTATTTTTAGGTCAGAAGTGAGTTAGAAATGAAACATAAAGAATGAAGTCTATACACAGCTGGGCTCTAAGAGTACAGGTGGTTTTAGCTCATCATGTTTTGGCTCTGAAAGCAATTTAGCTCATCTCACAGGAAACAAAAGCAGGTGCTGAACCGTGAAAACCCAATCAATTATTTTTAGCATGTCTCTTAATTTTTCTGTCCCCTGGTTTCTTGTCTTCTGGGTAAGATTCCTGAACAGGTAACCACTTGAGGGGATGTCGGCGATAGATAGGCCATGGAGGAAGAGTTAGCTAGACCAGAGGAGAAAAAGAAATATACACTAATTAAAGAGGATAAAAGAAATATACACTAATTAAATTCTTGCTAGTTTTGACCTTAGTGCCTGCAGTAGCTGCCAACGCATAAATTGTAAATTTTCATACAGTTTACACCAACAGACACTATTTGACACTCTCCTTTATCCAGCCTAGTGAGGAGAAACACTGATGGGCAAGTAGGGGTTGAGGGGGCTGGGTCCAACCAAAGCACCCCCTCAGAAAACCTCTCCTGCCACGAATGCCCCAACACCCACAGACCTCTTACCAAACAGGAAAAAGCAAATCCAGCCATAACGATATAGACAGTCCACCCGAACTGTTCGGCCACGTACCCATAGATAAATCCAACTATCTGAAACAAAGTATATAAATAGTCAAGATGGGCAACAAAATAAAAACATAAATTTAAAAGTAAAATCATACTTACTGCAGAGAAAAGAATAATCCCCTGGAACATCTGTTCAGCCAGTTTCTGGCCCTTGTAATCCTAGAGGCGAAGAACAAGACAAGTGTTGGTGCGCTGCCAAGGGAGAGTCGCACGCAACTCACAGCCTTGCACAGGCAACACTAACACCAGGGCCCTGGGCGAGCCCCCGGAAGGTGGAGGTAGCCCTAAAAAACAAATTCTGAGTTTCCTGGGGGAGCCTGAGCACGCTAACAGAGCAGAGTTAAGAAGATCCTTTCAGGCGAAGAGACGAGGCCCCAAGAGGCACAAATTCGGGGAAGACAGTGGACTCCATCCTTCGGGTTGAAAATAGCGCAGCACCGCATCGGTGCTCCGACGAGGGAGGTCCGGGCCGCACTCTCACCATCTGTGTAGGCAGCGAGCTCAGATGTTCCAGCATGATTAACGGAGGAGGAAGGCAGCGGAGCAAGAGAAGCCAGTACGGAGGGACCTGAGCGGCCGAAGCCCGGCACGGTATGCTGCACACGCAGCCGGCCGAAGGCGTTAGCTCTACAGCCGCGGCCCCGGAAGCGGAAGTCTCGGTTAGGCCTGGACAGCCCGTGGCCCCGCCCCGCGCCGTCGCTAGGCGACGTGGCCTCGAAGTTGGCGGCAGCGCGGCGCCACGCCCGCACGGGCTGCGACAGCGACTGTGCCGAGGCATTGCGCATCCGTGAAGGGTTCGCCCTCAGCGCTGCTGAGCTCTGGAAGCCGCGGCCCCGGCCCGAGAAATTGCTCACTGCCGCATCTCTGAGGCTTCGGGGCCGGGCTCGCCGCGCGTCTCCATGGAGACGGCCCTCTCTCCGCTAGGACCCCAGCGGCGGGGCTTCCCGCGGCGCCTGCTGGCAGAAGCGCTCCTGCCGCCGGGGCCGCGGGCTGGCCGGGGGCTGCGGTACCGTATTGCCGGGCTGCAGAGAAGCTCGTGCGCGAGCAGGCAGGCGGGCAGGTGGGCTTGGCTCGGAGTGCAGCGGGCGCGGCGCCCGGCGGTGGGCTGGGCCCCGGGGCCTGCGGC